CGGAGTCAAACATCATCCACTATTCTTGACGCAAGGATGATTCGCCCAACATATATGGTGTTATTCTAATACCTTCTATTCTGTGGTAATATAGTCAAAGGACGCAACTGAGATTGATATATATGATGACATGCGGGCCCCATAAGAGAGCCGGAGGAGGGTGTTGGAGACCAGAGATTCCGATTTCGAGTGGGGTTACCCAACTTAGGGTGGTTCCTAGGTATCGGATTCTGGTATTCCTAACAGTTCTCTTATAACAATTCTTCTTGTTAGGTGGAGACCATTTGCATAGACTCAGAATCATCTAAGCCAATTGAAATTCTTTTCATAGATAGAGATTGGTCTAGGAAGGCTCAAAAGGGTTACTTGTTTCATTTATAACTTATAAGAGTAAAGTAATATAAAATCTTGTAAATCACATTCTATTATTAAAGTCTCTTCTCCGTTATTTGATGACATCTAACAACTTGGAAGTTACTTTGATATTTATATTGCACATTTGAGTATTTGTGCACTACTTCTATCTCTTATACAAATTAAGTACCTCTCTAATTCTAACTCGCAATATTGGGTATCCTCCAAAAGTGTGAACACCAGGAAACCTTGAAAACTATCACACTCTCTTCGGTAATTACTATTTTACCAATTTGGAAACCTGTTTTATTTCCAATTATAATTATCTGATCTTCAGAGTTTTCAGACTTGTGACCTAGTTTTTAAGTTGAAAAATGTTGGTCTCGAAGGTATTTCTCTTCGATAAAATAATCAGTTTCAGGTTAAGTCTGCATTTGCAGGAGTAGTCATATACAGAACCTCCTCAGGTTTCAAACTTGGAATCTCAATAACTCTTAGTCTAAGTAATGGATTTCTTCTGAATAAATTCCTCCTGATTCATCTACTGTTATTGTGCTGAATTGGCAGTTAATACCTCAGTGGGCAACTCCTGGTTATCCTAGATTATAGGTCTTTAGTTTTTATGTGGCTTTAGTGATAATTTCTACAACTATGACACACCCCTTAATCTAGTTGTAGCACTCTATGAAGTTTATTGGCTTCTTTAATAGTATTTTCAGAGAGTTCTATAGTCTTCTAATTATTATAGGATGGAGGTCAATGTGTTGGCTCTTTGTATAGATACTCTAATATTCTATCATATCTCTGTGCAAAAAATGTCCTGTTACCTATGGCCCATACCACAGATATTCTATTTTTGAAGCCTACTAACATTCTGAGTAGTGGATAGATTTACTCTATTCCACTTCTCAGACCTTGCCGTAGGTCCCTTCTCATATATCCTTTGAACAGGATCCTGTCAGATGGACAGTAGCAATGTATACAGTGTTATTCTGACAATATTAATCCTGTAGTATTATAGTCACAGGACACAACTCTGAGAGATAAGCATGATAACTTGCGGGCTGTGTGAGGAGGCTGGAGGGGGGTGTTGGAGATTAGAGAATCCTATTCCAAGTAGGGTTATCCTACTTAGGGTGGTTCCTAGGTATTGGTTTCTAATATTCCTAATACTTTTCTTCTAGCTTTTTTGTTTTCTTTTTTCTTTATTGTACTCATGATAGGTTTTGATTTTTTCTCATACTACAAGTCCTAGCATTAATTTCAAGATCATGAAAGATCTTGCTTCTCATATCACTTTTGTTTTATCTGAGGTCACAATGGATATTGCTTCTCATAATTCTACCTTTACTGTAGTCTAACAGAATGTCTTGGTTTCTCATAGTATTCCATATTTTTATCCAAATAAATTCCTACTCGTCTATATAGTACCATTCTTTATTGCCTGATCCTTGGACTCAAGTAAATTTCATGATAATATTATGATACAAGGTACAGTACAAAGCACTCCGGGAGATAAAACATGTGGATGGTACTTGTACTTGGGAGTGGATGTTAGTGATGGGATGGACAGGGTTTTGCAGTCCCCGTGCTTGTCACTGTAAGAGGTAAGAAATGATTTAATTTGGTAGGTTAAATGCCAGAGAGGGTAAAAAAGCTTGGACATTGTCCTCCCCTGTCCATCCTATCATTTACGTAAACCCCCGAGTAACTTTAGGGATGCCATTCTGTTCTGACTCACGCTTGCTCCTCAACTCGTGCAGATGATGGCTTGGCGAAAATCACTTGAAGTCACGTGGATAAATTTCCCGAATGAACCGCGCTAGTTGTTCCGGTCGCGTCTGCCGGGGACCACAGTTCTTGGTCTCCGCTTAAATTCAGCTTTCTCGCCTCACTCATTCACCGCTTACACACTTCTATCCCTCCAGCATGTGGTTTATAGAGTGCGAAGGTGAAGTTCTGGGTGGCAAGCGTCTCTGGCTTAGGCCAAACCAAAGATTCGCTATCGGACGAACGCCCTCTCAGGATGTTAATTTGTCGCTTCCATCGCAAAAGTCCATCTCACGAATACACCTCCTGATTGAAGTTGGGGACGTAAAAGAAGGTGACGGGGTAGGTGGCACCACAGCAACAATCGATACAGAAAGTTTGGCTTAATAACTTTATCACTGTTACAGCTTAAGCTAAACGTTCGCCCAAGCCTGAAGGTTCAGGATCACAAAACAAAGCACGGGACAAGGATTGATGGACAAGAAATTCGTGATCAAATGGTCACCCTTGACGAAGAATCATATTCTATCCACCTTGGAAAATATGAACCAACCTTCAGGTCATATGTCTTTAACCCCCCATTTGCCTACATCCGGACTAACAGAGTTTCCGCAGACTATATTGGGACCCAATTGTCTTCTCGGTGTCGCTCTCCTCAAAGGATAGAAAGGACAAAAGGAGTATGATTCCATACCAGAATAAAGTTGAGGCTCTTGGTATCAAGACCTTAGCTACCTTCGTTCCTTCTACTACGCACGTTGTTGCATCAAAGCGCAATACGGCCATAGGCCTGCAGGCACTTATCAATGGCAAATTTATAGTGACAAGCTCCTATCTCGACGCAGTTGCTCAGGCCGCTAGTGTGCCCCCGGACGGGAGACAGTCAGCCCTGGAACAGGATTTTGACGGAAACTGGCCTAACCCAGAAGAGTTCTTGCCGCCGAGCAATAATGAACCTGGAAACCGATCTTCAAGTCTCTATAGGCCAGATAAAGCTAGGAGAAACATTTTTGAAGGCTATACCTTTATTTTTTGCGACAACCTCCAGTATAACAACTTTTTAGGGCCAGTTACCGATGCGCATGGAAAACTGGAAAGATATGACGTGCGGCTAGGAGAGACTACGCCAGAAAAGTTGGCTGAATTCGTTAGGAAGCGAAGTCATGGGACAAATACTGCAGTTGTGAGATTTATTGCAAAGAAAAACCCTGAGTGGGAGAACGATCTCTCAACCAGAGTACAAGAGATGTAGGTCATTCGAAAGCACCACAAGGGTACTAGCAAGCCCGTCCTCATTGACCTCAGTCGGGCTAATGACTGTGATCCAATAGATTGGGATACCGGATGGTCGAGCAAAACGAGTTCCTTGATATTATCCTTACAGGTGACACGAGTCGCCTCAGGAAGCCGTTGGACGAAGATTTTTCACCCACAACTCGGCAAGTAGCCCCAGGTTGGGATCTCCTCTCCGAGCGGATGAGGTCTTAGTTCTGACGCTCATTAGAACCCCCTCGGACATCAAAAAATGTATACAATGGGTCACTAGTACAGATTGAGAAGACAATTATTGAAGAGACATCTGTACTACCTTCTTCTAGCGAGGCTTCTGGGGCATGCCGTCCCGCTTTACGTGGTCGCGGACGAGTATGTATTCAACCAGCTCATCAGAATTACTCTCGCTTATATTCTCCATTTAGACAAGGACCCGGGCCATACCCAAGCTGATAGACCCATTTTCCATGGATCACTTGGATCCTCCTCCAACACCAGCTCAATTGGCTTCAACCCAATTTACGTCAGGACAGAGTCTTAGCACACCTGCCCCTCGCGGCGCTGAAGCCTCAGCACAGGTAGGTCCCATACCCCGCATCACGAAATTTGCTAAGCCCTTGTCTATTGGACAGTCGGGGTCCTCATTTTCAAAGCCTAGTGCTAGTTCTAACAATACCCCAATGGGAATCGATGAGCCTCGTCATGATACACGCCCCCCAGCTCCGCTGGACCCGGGATCCCGAAAGAGGTCTGTTGAGCTTGAAGATGAGCAGGGACAGCTCTTGGATGTTATGGACCTTCTCCCTGGGGCGCAGGCGGTAAAGCGTCGGAAATTGATTGAGGAAGAGGAGCGTGCTCTTTGGGGAGAACCGCTTGAAGCACCCCCCCCGCTGCCACTTCCAAAGCCTGAACCAGCCGACAAGATGCCCGACAAGACAGCACCCCTAAAAGGCAAAGGGAAAAGGGTACAGAGGGATGAAGACCCTTTCGTTATTAGAGCTCGAGAGATCAAAGAAAAGCAAGAGGAGGCGGTTAGGGTGGCGAAAGAGGAGGAGCTAATGGCGATGGAAGGGCTGGACGTCGATCAGTTAAAGAATTTAGCTATCGTTGAGGTAATGGAAGTCAAACCAAGGACTGACAAGCCTTCGAGAGCTGGATATGGAGATCAAGGGGCTAGGTGGGAAGCCATGTGGAATGGACGCAAGAATTTTAAGAAATTCGTGAGATCTGGGCGGGGCGGGGGTATGAGGGCTATGCGGGGCAATGTCATGGTCAATCTTGTTGAGCATAGGGGAAGGGATTACGGGATCGGTGATGGTGCAACAAACTTCTGGTTTCTTTGGTTGTTTACAATAGCTAATGAGTAAATAGGATACTGGTTGGACAACGAGGAAGAGACGCCCCCAACAAAAAAGAGCCAGAAAGTACCAGCACAGCAACTACAACAAGTTGTCGATCTCCAAGAGGATAGCAATGATTGCATGCATGCTCTTCGCCCTGGTGACCGTTTAGAAGCTCAAGTTCAGGGCTCGGTACAGACCCACCCTTTGGCGGCGCGAACGAGGGGCCCAGCTGTCACAAGCCAAGGAACAAAAAGAGGGGCGATTGCACAAGGGTCGAGGGCTGGAGCCGGAAAAAAACAGAAGACCTTAGTTCTGAGGGATGGGAGTGGGAGTGATGATGATAGTGATGATGAGCTAAGGTTTAAATTCAAGAAACGGTAAAACGGCTGAGTTCCTATTTTCCGTCAAGCCTAGCAACTTGTTCCCCCAATTTATATGGTTGATTAACGTATCGCCCATAAATGATAACATTTCCAGAAACAATATATTCGGGAGTGATATTCGTGAGTTTCCTATCGGGGCTGGTATCTGATGAGACCATTATGGTTTCTGAATGGTATACCGAGTTATAGTCTCAAGATCCTTTTTACCGTTCTGAATCACACATTAGGGTCATGAAAGAAAGGTTATGATGTGCTTTGCTCAACTCTATCTTACCGAAATTAAATAACGTATGTGAATCTAGCGGTAGAAGTAAGCATTGGTCCATGACGTATTACACTGAGCTCGTAACTAGAGCGGTAGTATCGATTTAAGACACTCACTTGGTCCTGTACATGTCTATTTCTTTCAAGCTCCTGGCGTGCCCATGAACGCATCTCGTATTTGGTCGCTGGGTTTTCTATCACTTAGTCTGATTGTCAGCTCAATGCGTGAGAAGCCAAGGCGGTGGTTGGGCGAAGATCATGCGAGAATCACATCTTGTGGATCTCAACACATCCCGGTACAACGACAGCACCCGTACTCGTTGGATAAACTCCAGGGGTCAGCCCAATATTAATCACTTTTGGGGGTAGATGGATGGGGAGGAAAAATACGAGCTTAATACTAGGAATTTCCTTTTTCATCTCTTGTGCTAATTGAGGTGTCTGACGCCTAAAGAGAGAACCAAGTGATCGAAGTATGCGCGGAGCAAGTTGGGTTGGGATGCGGCGGGGGGCCGTTGGATGCAGAATCACAGCAAGTGGCCGGATAAATAGTTCTCCCAGATTGCGGGTAAAAGGTGAGGTGTGTTACTACTCTGCTGAAAAAAATTTAGCCAAAAACTTGAAGGGTGTGTCTGGTTGCCTGTACAAATGAAAGTCACAGAGAATGTCTCGTTGCCGCAGAAAGGGATGTCCTGGAATGGTACTATCAGATGCATCAGGAAAACTAATCTTAAGTAAAGGGACAGAATCAAGGAAAATTAAGAAACGGTTTTATGTTATAATGATTATTAAAAGTGTAGTAGTATGGTGGTATATACTGCGGGTTATGTAGGAGGTATTTCATTATGTGATGTAAAAATCAGGTCTGACCTCTTTCCGGAAAACATTCATTTTTGCATAATTATCGCAATTTAATTCCAGCAATTTCTTGTCAACTAGACATCATACTGACACTTTGTCAAAATAATGTCTTCACAAAAAACCGTATAACTAATGATACTACAAAGGCTTTGTATTGTAACAAGATGCATCCTAAGGGTAAAGGCACATCTTTGTAATAAAAGTATGGTTCCTTCTAGTCTTGAGAGATGCTCAAGTTGCAAGAGTGGCTGTGGAAAAGTAGAAGTGTGGTTAATCCTAAAACTAGAATTAAACAACAAATGGATCAAGGGCCTTAAAATATGAAATATATGAAGAATGATGGTAGAGGGTCTGAGTAACAATTTGGGTATATTAGAAGTAAACTATAATATTGGTTGGAAGATATTACCAACTAAGAAATATTCTAACAATATGAATTGTATTACAATACATCAATCATAGTTCTATAAATATCTATTGGAGTTTACTCTCTTCCATCATATTACTATTATAAACCACATAGTTTCTACACCAGATTCTGAAGCTGGCTGAATCTCATAAGTGCTAGCTATAACTATTGCGAACAATGCAAATCTTATTGTAACATGACATACTTTTAAAACTCTAAATAACTCTTAAATTACAACCACTAAGAGGTTACTATTAAGCATATGGGAGTACACAGACCCTCATTTATCGAAAAGCCAATCTAGGTAATTGCTATTTTGTCAATTGGAGAACTGTACAGTTTTCAATAGTAATTGTCAGAGCTGTGGAGTTCATAGACTCGTGGCCTAGTTCTCAAGTTGAACTGTATTGGCCCCAATTATCTTGTCTATTGATAAAATGATCGGTTTCATTTACAGGTCATATCTGCAGGAGTAGTCATAGATGCAACCTTCCTAGATTTTCGGACTTTAAACCTCAAAAACTTGTGATCCAAGTAACAGATATCCTGCAGATAACTTTCTCATAATTCAGAAGAAGCCATTCTACCAGATTGGCAGATAATCCCTCTGTCAGCAACTCCTAGTTGCTCTAAACAACAGGACTTTGGTTGTTATCTGGTATTGAACGTAATTCCTGCAACTGAAATACATCCCTTGACTTAGTTTTAATACTTTATGAAGTCTATTAGCTTGGTTGATAGTGTCCCTCGGGCTCTAGACTCTTGTAACTCTCTTAGGGTTGATGTGAATATATTAGTTCTTCATTAAAATCCTGTAACATTCAATATTCTATCTTTATATAAAAATGTTTTGTACCGACAGTCCATGCCAAAGATGTCCAATATTTGGAGACTAGCAACTCTCTGGGTAGTTGCCAGATTTACTCCGTTCTACTTTCCAGACCTATCCAACGTTGTGCTATCATGTATCCTACTCAAAGCGGTTCCTAGGTATCGGATCTCAGTACTCCTAACAGCTACTCCGAAATTTGAAAGAAACAACTAAAATAATAGTCAACCAAACTGAACTTTCAGGAAGATATATATTTGACTTTATATGTTGGAGATCACTAGTTAAAATATAATAGCTAATTATCTGATAGTAGAGATTTTATTACCGAGAGCTGTAAAGAAGTATGTAAGATTTCTGGGTTAAACAGACTTTGCACATGTTAATGACAGAGAACTACGACATCATAATTGAGATAAGTACTTATTGGTATAGCAGCTACAAGTATTTCATAAATTCGAATTTGTAGAATATAGCTATCGAAGTGGCCTTTAAGCTTTGCTGATATAATCAAGAAATGGAGAAGAGAATGTAACAATATGGATTGTCTACAAACAAATCCTTATTACTTTATTGCTATAGTTATATATTGGAGGCTTCCTATAGGAAGATGAATTCTAAGTGTTCAACTACATAGAGAAGAATTCTTCAGAAGATAAAGATAATTAAAATTTGAAATATTTTGACATGTTGAGTTGAAGAAACAAAGTAGGAAAACTTAATATTGTCAAGCCAATAGTGTCTTGCAATAAGCTCTATAGTCTTAAGAGGTAGTTGATTGCTAGAATATTAAACTTGCATATACTTAAGTAGATAGAATATACTACCAGTTGGTCCCATCGCCACTATCAACTGGCTCTGCTCCACTTCCAGTTATTCAAATTTATTTCCTATTTGGAAAGACATCTACATCACAACTTCTCTCACCATATTTCACACCTGGTTCCTCTCCTACACTGGAGAAAACCAAGCTATCACTTTCTATCTTCCTATCTTTTTGGGATACTTCTTTTACCTTTTCTCTTGAGGTCTCTCCTCTTGAGACCCTCCTCTCCTTCTTCTAATATGTTATAATATTAGTTATTTCCACCATGTTTTTACTACAGCTGTGTATAGTATCAGAACAGCTATGTTTTCACATTTTCCTTATAACATATAGCTGAGCATATGGTGTACGGCATGTAATTGTACTGGATTCCTCCTGTATTTCTGGAGAGTTACTTTAGTCTCCTTAACCTGCCACAGTAAAATTCGCCACCCTTCTTCTGTTTACCCTCTACATGTAGTAGTATCTTACCTACTAAGTGACACTATCACTCACAGAATAAGAAACTACATAAGAGATGTGAAAAGATACCTGGAAGGCATTAGAGGCTCATTTAGTCTACCTAGTTAAAATAGGAACACCTTTCCATTAGTTGTTTCAGCATATACGTCTTCCCCTCTTCTCTTCTTACCTCACCTTTAATTAGCTGGTATCTTACTACTCCACATTTCTCATCTTGCTAGCACTCTACTGCTAATTATTTCAGCTAGTACCTACTACCATCCTCTTCTCCTTGAGCATAGCTGGTCTCACTACCTTGTCTCTCTATTTTCACCTCCAAGAGGCCCCAGCCCTGGCTCTTTTTCATCAGTCAGTCTTGCAATAACCCTGACAGATTGGAATCAAACTTGGCTTCCTACTACCTTAGTGTTGGGCCAGACAATTGTGGTAGACTTGCTCCTCGGTGGACCGTGATATGAGTTATATTTCAAGTTACTAGGACTGCTCCATTCCTTTCTGTTGTTTATTACCTTTGGACTTTCCTTTATACCCTCTAGGTGAGATATCATGGGAGGTTTTTTCTTGTAGCTTGTTGCTTGTCTTAGGTTGCGTTTCTCTTAGTACTGAGTTTGCTTCTATAATAATGATAGCTCTGATTCTAAGTGGGATGTACAGTTTACTTCTTATGAGAGGCTGTTGAGACTTTTGGTTTTTACCTGGCTAGAGGAGAGATATCAGTGTTTACTGTTTTGTTTACACTATCGCTCATATTGTATATATGTTCTTATATCTTAACGATAAATACATGATATAAAACCAATTTAATAAAAAGCTCCCTATGGCAACTATTCTCCATGCCTTCTGTTTAACTGACTTTTGAAGTATTATCACAATCATCAATTTAAAAACTCTGGGTATTTCTGTGGTAATCATCACGATATACTTATTTTGGCCTCCCACTTTGGCTTTACCTATAAGTAAAATATTTGCAACCCGCCAAATCACAAGGAGGAGGTGCCAATCTAACAACGTCCAG